ATTTGTAATGTACATTTTATAAAAAATTAATAATAATTGTAATAAAGTGTATGTACTAATAGTACATGATTGGCTGTGTTGGTGTGGGTATTCCCTGCTGAACATAGCCCCTTAATAACCGTCATAGCCTGATAAATAATATATAAGTTACGTTTATATATTTTGCATACGTATAACGGGACCTCCAACTGCTAGAGTCCAAACTGTCTCTTATACTTACTCAATGAACGTATTTTAGTCTTGTGTGGAATTTTATAAAAATGGAATTTTTGAAATTTGAGACTCCCTAGGGTCACAGTCCCGGAATGTACCGCCCCCTCGCTTAGTCCACCACTGATCTCTTGACATATGATTATACGACTACTCGAATACTTTTCACTCAGATTAATGATGGTAAAATCTTGATGTTCGTTAATTTATTCATATATTTACGATTACTTCTTTAATTAAGATTAATTTCTTATTTAAAGTGAGTTTAATGTGCGTATTGGTGGACGTGGTCTAGTACGAGATTTTCTCCTTCGGTGAGTGCGCGGATCTAACAATTCGGTAGCTTCCTTGGAGAACGTGCTCAAGGAACGTGCCAAGGGCGTAGAATCCTTCGCTGCGGTTGCGAGCTCCTTGTGAATCACGGCCATGAAACTTTCTGCAAATAACACTCGCCGTAAAATATTTAACTAATTGCTATTTTATTTTCGAAGGAATTAATATTTTTAGAAAATATTACGTAGTTACATCTAGTGAGACACATATTACTTTTTATAGTGGATACAAATCTGTGGTTCATTTCTAATGCTAAATTTAAAAGGACAGTTTGAACATTAGTTTATATATAGGAATGATGGTAACCTTCGGTTAATCAATCAGGCCTCATTGTGTGTATTATATTTTTGTAAAGGGCGAATTCCCGTTTATTGATAACATTTTCAAATTAAAATGGGCAATAAAATAATTATTTTAGGAGATAAGAACAATAATCTAAATAATAAAGTTGTGCTTTTTCGTTTGTTAAAGTACATATTATCGACATGTACACATGTACAGTCTGCCTTTTGCGGGATAAGATTAATAGTGTGGTAGTTGAAAATGACCTCAGTGCATTTGGGATGTGGACCTACTAGAGTTGGCAATGTTTGGATGGTTATCTCTCCCTTGCCTTATGCCGATTTATTCAGAACGTCGTCGATGTGAGGCACACATCAAAGCTTGATGTATGCTTTCTTTTTTAGCGCATTTGTTTGCCTTATGATGACAAGATAAAAAATTTACGATGAAAAAACAAAAATATACTATATGTGCCCATTTATGCCAAATCTTTGCTTAACACTACTTTTCGGATTTGTTACTATTATATATACTTAAGGAAAGATTCAAAAGTTTTAGGGAATTCAGCGAAATCGAATTTTAATTAAAAAAACTGATTTTAAAAATTATATATATTAAAAAATATCACAATTTTCTCATCTAAATATTCTGATTGTGTAATCGGACAGGCTCAAGAAACAGGAGTTAAAAGGGGTAGAGGCAATTACCGACAGAAATTTCAAAATCCTTAAGAAACTTAGGCTACTCATAAGTTAAAATTTTTCGAGGCAGGTTCAGTCTGGCCTTCTCCACCATCTAACTAAATACTAGAATTCCACATGCAAACGTTTAGAAACCTAAAATAAATTTAGACAGTCAATGTGTGTGTCATCCTTGGTTAGAGACACAAAGTTTTTCTTTTAATTTCGAAATAGTCTGTGCCCCCTCAGGAAAATCACAAACTAAACCTAGATTGAATTAGATCGTTTATAAAGTGGTTGCTTAATGAAAATAGTGGCTAATTTTCGTGGCGAATTAGCCATTTGTATATGTCCACTCTATTTTACAACAGGCAATTTATTTACATAAACAACAATCGGCAATCTTTGTTCGCATGTAAAAGCAAACGGTGGCGTGTAGTTCGCATTCTTCGAGCCAAAAGCTGCAGACAACTTATTTATGTTTGGATTGTTTTCAAAATGCCGACGTTTTCCCACTACCGTACGATTGTCGATTAGGCTTACCGCTGGAACTGTTCTCGCATACGCTGCTTTTCTTTTGTATATGTGTATATGTATGTAGTTAAAAATTTTTATACGATATACGAACCATTTAACGGAATTCACAATAGTCACGAAACATTCGGATTCCCATTTCACACTTTACGATTCTCAAGGGGCGTAAAAATTCAGAAAAGTAAAGCATTGTTTCACCACTCCTACGCATTCCTTTTATTATAGATATACGATACCTAATAAACGTGCATAAATAAGGGAATGGGTTAATAGTACGATTTAACTTGTAAAACTTCAATACAATTTATAGAAATGCATCCTATTACACTATCCTGTCTGTCTTGAGACATCAACTTGCTAGCTTTCTCACTAGCTTATGAGCCGAGAAATGCACTTACAATAGAATCCGCTTATAATGACATCGAAGGGAAATGATAAACACGTCATACTAAGCGGGCGTCATACAAAGCATAGTCTTAGAAAATAAACAACTTTCTATTTTGGTTAATTATATAGTTTAATAAAGAGAACAACTACAAATTGTATATATTTATTAACAGAAAAAGAAAAAGAACGATGAATTGTAATATCAATGTACATAAGAAGGGTCAGAAAAATGAGCGAAAGTGTTATTATTAATCATTTCGGTCACTATAGCCGGATATGATTTCTTCAAAATCGGTCATATTAAACGATATGTCATTTTAAACGGAGTCATTATATCCAAACTTTCCTATAGAGAATTTAATATGAAAACCAAACTTAACACTGCAATTACTTCATATTAAGCGGTTAGTCGATATAGGCGGAATCAATAACGAATTCCACTGTATAATAATTCTGCATTTAAACCTATACGAAGCCTGCATATATTTACTAGTTGGATATCCCAANTTTAAACGGAGTCATTATATCCAAACTTTCCTATAGAGAATTTAATATGAAAACCAAACTTAACACTGCAATTACTTCATATTAAGCGGTTAGTCGATATAGGCGGAATCAATAACGAATTCCACTGTATAATAATTCTGCATTTAAACCTATACGAAGCCTGCATATATTTACTAGTTGGATATCCCAAATTGACAAAAAGTGTATCCCTAACCCAACTCCAGGTTATACTGGTCTATTCATATCATCTAGGTACGTCTTCATCTACTCTTAGCTTTCGGATTGCAGCCGTCTCATTGCTGTTTTGCCTCATGAGGGATAAAATACTTGAAGACCTCTAATTTATGGGCGATAAGGTGAAAAAGTTTTCAATGAACAAGGCATAGATTAAGAGCGATCTCTTCAATTTCAAGAAAATCAGAGATGTAGGGATTCAGGTTCAATTTCACAGTTACCTAAAAGATTGTACGGTTTACATTATAGAAACAATTTTTGTTTTTTTTTTTATTGAGATTTCCACCTAAAACTGTGGCAAAACTAAAAGGGTTCCGTTAAGTGTGTAGCGTTTGTTATACCTGGCGAATGCACGGCCAAAACGCGCTTCAGTATCGCCCTACGTTTAGTTTCTTAGGAAACTAACAACTGTGTACTACTTTACATACAAGAGAGTCGAATGTTGCGGCGGTCTATGCTAGCAATGTTACCAGTCAGGGCTGTAGATCCTAATTGATTTATAGATACGAATTGTGTGATTTGTCGCCAAGACTTGGCCAGTACATTTGTTGTCATCATCAACCGCGGTAGATGCGTATTCCCCATCGACATAAAATCTGCCGCTGACGGTCGCCCAGAAAAGAATAAAAAAAAATGAAATTGTTGGGCCCGACAGCGGTTAACTTATGTTAGAAATGCGGCCGAGGAACTCCGTGTAAAGAAGTTATTCAGGAATTTTGTATATATGAATCTATAAAACGGCTGCCAGACATCGAGTATCGGCTTCAAAACAAAATCAGTTATGTTAACGTAATATTCGAATTTATTCCAACATCTATAAATGGTTTCTTTCGATAAATACTTGGCCTTTAAAACGATAAACTATTTTATTTTCCGACATGAGTTATTATAATACATAAACCTGATTCGAAGAAATTATCCAACACCTGTTTATATCCGCAACTAAAACTGAAAAATTTTTGTATATAACATATGCCAAGTTTATGATTTGACCAATTTGAAACATTAAGTTTTCGCGTCAATTTCATTATTTTGATTGCCCTAATATATTAACACTTCATTTAAGTTTTTATTGATGACACTATTTAAGTGAGACAGTAGGTGGCTTCAAATCGCATTCACTAAGATTGGATTACTCAAGTTTTATGCTGTCGTTTCATTTGGTAAAGATATGACAAATTACTTAAAGATGCATATTTTAGAATATTTTTCCGAATAAAAAATGAAATACCTTTTGCTGTCAAAGGATTCAGTCAGGTTATTTACATTATTTTTAGATAGTGTTAGGCATCTCCTAATTTATACTAATAATTGCTTTTATTGATATTTTACCCAGTTTGATAGATAGAATGAATTCGAAATGCTTACATTTAAATCTTTTTATATTTAGTTCTGATAGGTTAAGCCTATGTTATTCGATTATGGCAATTGTTCATAAAAAAGTTAACGATGAAAAGCTAAGACTGATAACCAGTCATCAGTTTTGATAAGGGTTCACATTTTATTTAGGTGTATTTTAATTACAATTTATCCAATATTTTCATAAGTTAAGCTAAATACAATACTCATCCAGATACGCACATCACGAAATCTTGAGAACTGCTTATCATAAAGCGTACGAACTGAAAATCAGATTGCCCATTGTTCTTGACTTGTACGTGTTCAGTAATGAATTATTCGAAATTCAGTCTCTAAAGGATGTGAATATAGGGATATAAAAATTTGAATGGTGATTTTATTTAGAATCCTAAATAAAAATAAAGAAAAGGGTCGGGTCGCTAGTATTGTATACGTATTATAACAAAACGTAACGTAATAATTATTTGATTTCAGTAGGTCCTCTACTTGCCAGCAGCTTTGTAAGCGGAGCGTACACCCTCTCAGTTCCTGGTATGCCTCCGACAGCCCACTCTGGCTCCAAGACAAGTCTCCTATTCGATAATGGTAAGGACATGTTTTACAGTAATCGCATATGTGTATATAATCCATGCAAGATCCTATGTATAGCGAAATAATGTGTATTAATCACACTGTCCTTCTAGAAATAACAATCAACAATCTGATTGATATTGACGATCTGAAATTGTTTGATGGTAGAATCGAACTTTAATGATCAACAACTGACTTTTTTAAATAGATTTTAAGTTAAGTTATAAATCGATTCAGCGTGTCGATCTTAGAATCTTAAAAATCTAATAAATCTTTTTATAGATTTTTTTGAAATAATTATCTGCAAGTAAAGTAACAACTATTATACTGTTGTCATGATGAAGAAACAGGATTTTAAAGGTCTATTAAACGAAACATACATAAATATTAGTGATTACTGATTTTAATTCGAATCAATTTTTTATATATAATAACCAATCATCATTCCTTTTGATGTACAAAACATAAACCTTCATAATCGGTTATAGTGTGGTTTAACCCACTTTTAAGACGTATGGGTAAGTGCAGAATTTGTCACATATTGTCGTCATAAAAAGTGGAAAATTTTATTAGGGAGGGAGCAATGACATTAAGGACCTTTATTGTTAATAACATTTTGAACCTAATATGAATTACCTACGAATTAATTATAAAATAACTTATGTGATTCTAAAGAAATTTCAAAGAAGCATTTTGGTTTGTTTTGAAGGTTTTACGTGTCTCCTATTTTTCATGGTCAAAAAATCTTCCTTTAGATCTCTGATGAAATTAAATGCCAAGTTTTAATGTTCATTGGTCGGAAAAAAGTTGATATTACTCCTTGGTCCCTACCGTCGTGTAACGATCTCCGTCCTTCTCACTTCGCCGTCGCCAGAATAGGGAATTTAATTAAGTAAAATTACAGTGCTTGTACTTTAATTATGTTAGTATCGCGAAGGAAAGAAGTCGGCACCACCTCGAGCGTATCGGGACTTTTTAACAGCTGTCCTCCATCCTCCCGTCACTGAGCATTTACTTGCCCTCCTGTTTGCCTCCTCATGCTGTCACGTCGTTCGATGTAGCCCAAGCAATCATCGGTTCGCCTCACCGATCAAAGGATATCGTCAAAGCTTAGTCGACGATACCCGACCTAAGCAGTAGCGTACTGTTTGTTCTATCTTTAATGTCGCATATTTCTGTACAGAAATACAAGAATTTGTTGGATATTTCCCAAAAAGACTGTATTCATAAATACCAATTAATGGAACGAGTTTTTATAAATTATCAACTTAGCAACAATATATACCAATGTAATATACAAGTGCAACATATCTACCTAGTATGCTTCCGACGTATTTTTAGTTTTCGTATTTATTATTTAATTTTTTGAATTTTCCAACTAAAGGAACATTAAATTCAGAGAAAGTTTATAGAAATTAGAAAAGTCAATGGCTTTTCAATTACGAATATTTTTTTTATGTTACTGCTGTATCATCTCCACCGCTGCCTGTTTATAAGACACAGTCGCGTCGCGCCGCGTCGATCCGACGCGACGTCTCCCTAACTTCAGCGTTGAGTTGTTCCCCCAACGAGGTGGCAACGATTGCGAAAATTAAATGAGATTTAGATACTCTTCTTGTATACCTTCGGCAAAAAAAGGAAAAACAATTAACTCTTAAAAGAACAGAAGTTTGCTAAGATTGGAAAGATCTATGTCCTGACTTTTGATTTGACCTTTTAAATTAAATGTCAACCGATCAGTTTGTCTGTTTGTCTAATAGCGGATTTTTTTTTCAATGAATGCACTCTAACGCTTGTTTAAAATTATAAACAGTTGCTGTTGATATAAATGCTACTAGTAGATAGTAAATTTACGCAAACAGTAAATCCATAGGAAAAATTAATTGCTATGTATAGTGTAGGTATAATATTTATGTAATAAAACATAGTAGCAACACTCAAATTAATTCAAATTTAAGTGGTACACAAAAAAAGATTTTCGGCTTAATAGGGGAATGAATTTCATTGAAGCACTTCGTTGGTGTAGTGTTTTCCTACCGTAATATTATGGTCCTCACCGAAGGATCGTTTGATGTAAGTTTCGTAAGTTAAATTCAAATTGATAAAGTTTACAAAAAAAGAAAGGAATGTCTAACAGTTAATGAAGTGTTGGTAGAAGCAACCTGTTTCGATTCCATAAGGCGAAGCAATCTGGGGTTGCATATAATTTTCTCGTCCTTGCTTTTGAACTGGGCTTGCAGAGGCGAACGAATAGGATTAGTTAATGTTATCATTTATTCATGGGCTGAAGAAGCTAGCGGCTTACCGTTCCTCATCCTCGTCGTGCTCCTTTTCCGCCCGCAAACACAACGTCTTCTTCTCTACGAGATTACGCTTTTGTTGCCCATATATCTCGATGAACCCCACTTTTATGGAACATTTTGTATAACAGCGCCAAATCCTCGCATTACACATGATAAGAAGCTTTACCCGCTAACAAGTTCGAATCAGGTACTGATATTATCGTCGAACGTTGTCGGGCATATGTGCTATGCGCGGCGGTAACGTAAAAGAATGAACAGGGTGACTTAAGGTGGGGTGGCGTCATTGCAACGGTCGCGTGATGAGGTTCCTGTTTTGATCGTTTCCGCTTTTTTAAGAATTGGGGATTGTAAACTGACCTTATTTTAGCGCTCTTTCGCCTCTACCCACACATTTCATTATTAAAATTGTACAGGAAATGTATGAAATTTTAGGAATTGTATAAAATATTTTTTCAAAGATTTTTTTAATACAGACATATCCTGGGAAATGTATACATTTCCTAAGAATTGTATGAAATTCCGATATTGTTGTTTCAAAGATTTTTTTAATACAGACATATCCTGGGAAATGTATACATTTCCTAAGAATTGTATGAAATTCCGATATTGTACTAGGAAATGTATAAAACTAATGCTTTCTGTGAATAAAATGAATAAAANTTTTAGGAATTGTATAAAATATTTTTTCAAAAATATATGTTCTGGGAAATGTATACATTTACAAAATACTAAAAATTTAAGGCATTGTGTTTGCTGAAACGAAGTTAACCTCGTAACATTATTCTAACATCTAACATATCAGCCCGCCTCCGACGGGCAGGGGTATTAAAGAAACTCCAGTCTGTCATAAATTTCCCTAACAAAACAATGACGTCACCAATGGATATAGGTACATCTCCAAACAGCCTGTCGTATTATTGCCTATTGAGTATTACTTGCAATACATTTGCGATTGCTATTTAGGAAATGTATCTAATAAAATTTATTTCACACATTTCCGGGCGATTTTAGGAATTCTATACATTTCCTAGGAATTGTATACAATGACGGATTTCAAACATTTCCGATAACATACATTTAAAACGAAATTATCCAATTAATGCAGGAACATATGCAATATACCTAGCTTTTTACCGTGTCCTTTTTAATACAAAATCGATCAATAATAATAATATACCGAGTAGGTCCTAAATTAGGAAATAGAAAAATGTTCCTTTATGTTTTATATGTATGTATGTCAGTACATAAATTCGAGTAAACATCAACACTGACGTTGCGGATTATATTAGTGTTGACAGCACTTAGCCCCAGCTGTAATTCACCGAATGTCGGATGTAAGAATTATGTCACTTATGTCTAACCTCCCTTAAATGATAGTAACGTTGATCTGATTTACGAAAACAAATGTGAGAATGTTAATATTCGAAAGTAGTTCCGATATTTTTTTAACTATTACCTTCCGAAGCGCTATTACACATAATTATTTAAATTATGTTTTAAAATTAGATCGGTACATATTTATTAAAAATAGAGACAAAATGAGGAAAACTATGTATGTAATGTAACAGTTAATATTAAGTCATAAAATACGTTGTATTTTTGATTTATAAAAATGATTGGTAAAGGTCTAGATGATGTCTAGGATGGGGGGCATCGAAAGAGGAGGTCTCCCCCACGACTGTACCATAAAAAGATTGTGGCGGTCTCACCCATATAAAAATTATGGGGGTTCAAAGTTAATAAATATGCCAATTTTTAAACATTTCTAGCCATGTAAATATTTATATAGTCATCGAACCCCCCTATCCCCACCCCCATCTAACCCCCATAACTTTTTATGAGGGTAAGACCGTCACGAACTTTTTATGGTACAGTGGTGGGAGAGACCTCCTCTTTCGATCCCACCCACCCTAGACATCATCTAGACATTTACCAAATGATTTTTGTTGCATAATCTTTTCTTGTGAAATAAGGATAATTAGTGTTTTTGAAGATTATAATGGTAATGACTATTTGTCGTGGAAATTTAGAAGCAGTTTATAAATAGTAAAAATATAACTTGCTTGTCTAGGGTAGATTGAGGTTTAAAAAGTAAACCATATAAATAAATAGGCAAGAAAGTGTTTACATACCATAACCATCAGTATGCGTACTCTTCGTAACATCTGTAACCATCTGTCAGTGGAGACTTATCGAGCAACTTAGGGAATTGCCGCTTTGCACGCCGTTGACGAGGCAAAATGAGATGGATAAAAGGGAAAATACGTTGGTAAGAAGGACAGAGGGATCCTCCGAGGCGTCAAGATGCGTCGAAATTGCTCCCATAACTCTGGATTCGCACGAATACAGATAAATTGTGGGGTTAGCGAAATTACAGTGTTCCTAAAATTCATTAGAAACTTTCGTGTTTCAGTCTGTAGTTTACGTTTTTTAAAAATTCACTTAGCACCAATTTTATCTGACAATACTGAAATTAAGCGCTTTCCTGTAAGGACATTCAAGGAGTTTCGTGTAATAGCACAAGATATGTATTTTAATTGATTTGTGCTAAACACAATAAAGGTGCAATTATTGTACAAATATTTTCGGGTGATTTTAATATTTCTATATGTTTATTACAATAAAGTCCATTTTTACGAATAGCGACATGTTNTTAAACATGCTCCCTAATTCCATCATTAATTTCATTAAAAACACGTCTACCAGAGAACC